GGCCTCATTCATGAATGTTCCACTCAGTGCCAGATCAGAAACTCTACAAATTGGATTTTTAGTGCATGGATATTTTTCTCCTGTCTATTGCAAAGGTGTCTTTTAAAGGTTCTTTTCCTGAACTGAACTTGAAATAAAAGTAAGCTCTTAGGTGCTTGCAAATTGATGTCCCACACTAAGTGTGTTGGTTGGGCTGTTTTCTATACCTAACTTAAAAACTATTACAAACTGAAGCACACCAAACTTCAAGCCTCTGCAAACAACAAAATGAGCCCAAGAACATCATTGTTAGGGGAGAACTTGTCTGACATGCCTTAGGCTGTGAGTTCCATCCCCAGCCCCCCCCACACACACACACGGTGTTGCAGAGATGAATCAGCATGGACAATACTTGCTGTACAAGCTTGAGGACCAGAGTTTGAATCTCAGGAATTTACTTAAAAAGCTGAGTAAGTGTGGCATTCTGTCTGTAATCCCAGTGTTCAAGAGACACAGATGGGAGCTGTTTAGAGAAGGCTGTCTGGCGAGTCTAGTTTAATGATGAGTTCAAGTTCAGTGAGAGACCCTGCCTCAATGTATAAGAGAGAGAACTATCAACAAAGATGTTCTCAACACCATCCATGGGACTCTATACATTGCAATACGCATGTATACACATGGGAACATAAAATTTGAACACAAATATGCATTCACATTCATATCAGTAGGCATGAACCCATTTTCATACATGCCATACACATACAGAAAGAAAGAAAGGAAGAAAGGAAGGAAGGAAGGAAGGAAGGAAGGAAGGAAGGAAGGAAGGAAGAAATCCTTAAATGATGCTCCCAGGTAGCATCCTTGAAGCCAATACTCAGTATCCATGGCTTTATATATTGAGGTTATATGGAAAGTCAAATGACCATTCAGACAGTAGTGTTAAAAAAATTGCTCCTTTTGTCCATTTCATTCGTTGAATCTATGACCTTATCCCTAAAGTGAAATTAAAAATAAAAGTTCAGAAGGAAATATTAAGGTAATCTATTGTGTTTGTCCATGTGTGTAATTGCATGTATGTTTGTGCTTGTGTTTTGAGGCCAGGGATCAACATTGCATATCTTCCTTAGTTTTTCTATGCCTTATTTTTTTGACTCAAGTTTTCTAACTAACCCTGGAACTCACCAATTTGTCAAGACTGGCTGATCAGCCAAAGGGATCATCCATCTCTGCCTTCCCAGACTTAGGGTTAGAAAAGTGTGCTACTTTTTCTTTTCTTTTTTAAAAGTATCACATACTGGGCAATGGAACTCCAATCCTCATGGCTGTGTAACAGACATTCTATTCACTATGCCATTTCTCATACCCAAAACAATCTAGTTTACTACAGCATGTTTTGACTCAAGTTCCCAGTATTAGCTAAAACGGAGACTTCACATATTTTTGTGAAATATTTGTACAACACCAGTATGACAGACTTTCCTAGACCATTTCAGAGTTTAGACACTATTTGTGACACAAAGGTACAGTTAGGTATAGTTGATGATTTCTTACTTTTTATTTAGCGGTGTGTGAATTAAACAGTAGGCTTTAGTATTATTCTTCCAGAGTAAATCTGACAAGGTTCACATTTCAAGTGAGAAAAGAAAGAAAAAAAACAAAACTGTGAAAATTAAAAAAAGAGTAATATAGGAGAAACAGACCCTAATTTACAATCAAGTATATTTAGAAATAATGCTCAATTTTGACTGATGGTGCTAATGGGACCTGGACTGTGCCAGGCTGTTGAGGATGACAGGACAGTGGCAACTGGAAGGAGTAAGGTTTTTCCTGCTGCTGCGGGTCTTGTCCTTCCACCGCGCCAGCCCCAATTAACGCACAGAGACTCTGTATTTAATATAATGCTGTTGGCCAGGTACTAGTTTATTATTGGCTAGCTATGTCTTAAGTATTAACCCATTTCTATTAATCTAATTTCTACTAATCTACTTCCACATGGTCTTATCTTACTGGAGAGAGAGGCCACCAGCGTTCTGCTCTCTCTATCTTTCATCTTGACTCCTCCCTACTACTTCCTCTTTCCTCCTTGTCTCCTAGTCCCGCCTTGCTTTCCTATTGGCCAGCAGTGCTTTATTCATTAACCAGTATGAGAAACATATTTATAGAATGACATCTCCCATCTGGCAACAATCTTGCTTGCCCTTCCACACTACAGCTCTAAGAACCATGGTGATTCCAGAACTCTTCACTAAAAGCCCACAATTTAATCCAGTGGGCCACAGCTTAGTTCTCCATGGAAGCAGAAGAGAGAGACGCCTGCCTTGAAAGAAATTAAAACCACTTGAAACTCAAGTGAACCAATACCTCCAGCAAGGTTAAGAGCCCATTGCCAGCTGTTACCAAACACAGAGAGACCCTAGCCTTGAAATGCTTCCAGAGGCCCAGGGTGGCAGAAAGAAGGCAGCTTAGGAGCTGAAGAAAATGAAACTTGGATGTTTTCTTAAGATGGAAACAAAATGACTCAAAACTGCAACTCCATCTGAAAACAACCAGTTCTGATTGAAAACCCCAGAGAAAATAAATAATCCCACATCTATTTTCCCCTCTAAAGTCAACATAAAATTTTAAAATGGTTCCCCGGGCAGAAGGACTGCTTATTTCTCACTGCAAGCCGAACAGCAAACCAAGCACAAATCTGTAAAAATTGATGAGAACTTCAATATTGAGAAACAAAATGGAAGAGCCTCCAAAGAGTATTTTCAAAATGAAAAGCCATAGCCTGTGATAATATTGCAACTGATATCATAAGTGACCCAAGTAAAGATGACAGCACTGATATTCACTATTCCGCTTAGTAATTAACCAGAATGCTTAGTTTACCCAGTCTTAATTAGAGACCCAGGTGGTTAATAGTCAGCAAATATCAATGCATCTAAAACACATTCTCTTCAACAACATTGGACTAACACCTAAAGATGGAGTAACTGAAGTGAGGCTTGCAGACAAGGAGGTTCTGTGAGGAAAAGAATGTATTAGCCTTTGCCATGTCTTCATATTTTATGTTCTGTTAGAAAAAATTGGGATGCTTTTCTCCTGAGCTAAAAACAGCATTTGTTTATGTTATTTTGATATGTACATGCATGTTTATTTTTATGTATGCATACATGTTCACACATGTGGACCCCAATGTGCAAAGGCCTTAGGTTGACTTTGGGTATCTTTCCCTCTCACTCTATCGATGTAGGCAGTGTCTGTTATCTTTCTGGTGAGTCTAGCTAGCCAGCATTCTTTGGGGGGACTCTAAGGAGGCCGTTATATCTACCTGGCACTTTTTTTTTCTTGTGATTTGTGGGGTTCTGAACTTCATCCCCACCCTTTGATGGTGAGCATATGTGCATGCTGATCCATCTTCCTAAGCCCCAAACTCCAGCCTCTAGAGACAGCTCCAGGTAGCACAACCCTGGGCTTCTTGTCCTTGCTTTTTTTTTTTTTTTTTTTTTTTTTTTTTTTCCTTGTGGTCTCTAGACAACCTTTGGCTGACAAGAAGGCCACGTGTGTGGGGGCTGCAGCAGGGAAGAAAGCCATGCTTTATACCTTAGAGCAGGTGTATTACTCCCATACTGATAATTACATTGCTAGGATAAGTCTAAACTCTTCCATCTTGTCTATTTTTGAATGTTTTTAGAACCTTGAATGGTGGCTGTACAACACAGACTAGAGTACAGATTCCCCAGGGCAAATTCCACACTTAGCAAAATTTGACAAGTAACACAGTTCAGTTATTTGGACAAGTTATGTAAAGTGTCTGATATATATATATATATATATATATATATATATATATATATATGTATGTGTATATACATATATATATGTAAACAAATAAGTAGACATATATCCTCAATCAATATGATGATGACAGAATCTAGAGCCAGCTGAGAGATGAGCTTCTGAGCATGTCTGTAGTGCTCATTGATTGTGCTAATTTAGATGGGAAATCTTTCCACTGTGGGGAGCAGAATTCCATGGCTAGGATCCAGGACTGTATCACAGCAGAGAATATGACCTGAGCACTAGCATAGCATTCATTGACCCTTATGATTATGGATGCCATGTGACGGAGGTCCCTCGAGCACCTGCTACCATGACTTCCTTTCCACGATGGATAGTTGTTGGTGTCCATAAAGGTGGATGCACACCATCCATAAAGATGGCTGCACTCCATCTTGGCACAAGGACATAGAGTTCAAAACTGTCCTCAGCAAGTCCTAAGACCTAAAGGTGAAAGGTGGGGCTACAGCAGGGTATTTGTCTGTCTTATTCTAAGTAACAACAGGCCTGGTCTAAAGTGTGGCTACTGAGCCTTTAGAGAAAGAAGGAAGAAAAGTCTGTTTGTTCCATACACATGATACCGTGTTCCTCCTTTTGGTTAAGGTATGTAAGAGTAGTGAGAAATAAACCCATGGCAATTCTGTATTAACTGAATCTGCCCTCCTGACTTTTATTCTGAATCTCTCTTTTCTTTATCATGTATAGCTAGCCTTTCCCTAATCCACACGCCCCCCCCCCCACTCAGGTTCTAACTTGGGGCTGCTCGGCTGTTTCTGATGGCAGCCCCACAAAGACAGCTTCCGACAGAGAGTAACCTTGAACTCGAATCCAAAATATGTACTTTCTCACGTTGCTGCTGCTGGTGGAATTTTATACAGCAGCATAAAGGAAAGACAATAAGATAGCTGATGACACCGTCTTACTGACAATCAGAGTTTGCAGCGCGTTTCCCTATTTTTATAGATGGCATAACAAATTCTTTCAAGAAAAAAAAAACTATCAAAATTGCAAGAAAGGGAGGAACACACTGAACTTTCTCCAGCTGACACTCTGATTTCCCTTGGGATGGAGTTACCCTGGAAGCAGGGTCCAGATGTGATTTCATTATTTCGGAATGGGTACTGGACAGTGATTAAGCCTCCATAGTCTGGATACTGCAAGATGCCAGAAACACTCACTGGTAAATGTTAGCAAATCTCATCTTTATTCACTGGAAGACGAAAGCATTTCCTACCCAGGTGCTGTCCTCTTGCTTGTACTGTTGCCAGTTGTGCCCTGTGTCGCTGAACATCAGGCGATAGCTTGTCACCCAGTCAGAGCTCCCGTGTCTTCCCTGCGTGGCCACCGCTGTAATCTCCACTCTGTTGCCCAGGTCCACCTGGAGCCACTGTTGGGCATTGGAATCTGCTGGGGACCAACCACCAGTTCCTGGGATAGGATGAAAGAGAGACTTGTAATAATGCCTTAGAAAGCCACCATTCGTATGTCCAAGACCAATGAAGCTATGTTGGCTAAGGTACCTTTGTACTCTGTCTCTAAAACTCTTACTACTTTCAGAACTAGATTTCTGTCCTGTAACTCGGGGCTCCAGGTTCTTTGCAAAGGCAGTGTCTCCTTCCTTTCCCTTCCCCTTCATTCTTCCATTCCCCTGTCTTTCACTTCTTACTTTTCTCTGTCTGAATTTGTACTAGGAGACTGCCAGGTGACCTAAATCTCCCTGTGGATACAAAGGTGAAAGAAGACATTAACAGACCACTTCGCCACCATCATTTATTCATCTAACATTTATTCTTCATGAGGAGTATGCTGGGTAAAGGGGAAAGAAAAATTTGATGAAAGCATGCGAGAAACCTCCCCAAGAGAAAGACAGAAGTTACAATAGTGGCCCAGGGGACAGACTATTTTAGAAGGTGTTCAAAAGGGCCTTCCAAACAGAGACCGGAAAGCTGACACCTGAGGCCAGCATACCATGCCTGGAAAGGGTGGGAAGTAGACAGTTATGCAGCCACTTAATGCACAGGGAACGAGGAAGGAATGGTGTATGCACCATCTCAGTTCATGAGGAAGCATGTGCATTTCATATGTAGCCTGCTGCACCAAGACACACACAGACTTGGCAACAGCTGCTTTGTTCATAGACTCCTCATGAAATTTAAAGTTTGTATATAATAAATATTCATTCTCCTGGAATTGGAAGACTCGTGGCTTAAGTTTTTGTCTCCATTTCAAGAAGGAAAAAAAAAATCAGTATGAACTTTTAGTGGATATTGAATCTCAAGTCCTGTGGAACCTGGGTAAAGGAGCATCACAGAGTCAACGAGATGGGGAGGAATGTGGTGAAAAATAAGCCATTTCACTCAGAATACACGCTTGGTCCCATAATGCTCTAGTATTCACTCACCCCATGGCTTGGCAGCTCAGGCAGTTTCTGTGTCCTGGTACCCAAAGTTCCTCACCACATCTGACTAAATACAGAAACTGGTGGAAGTAAGGCAAAACTCATTCTGATCTTAAGACATGTGTAGGATGTGAGGACTATCTTTCAGCATCAGATCGTCTCTAATATTCTTGTTTTATACGCTTCTTTTCATTATCATTATAATTTTATTTCTTCTATTATTATTAATAAGCGTCAAAGCAGGGAAGAAGAATGACATGTGATTGCTATTTACTCTGAAATGGGTATGAGTGTTGGGTATGACACCACGAAGACAGGTCTGTGGTACACTGAGTACTTCCCCCCTTTCTGTAGGAAGAGGGCTGCACATGTATGGGGGGGGGTAAGTTGAGTAACTGTATCATTTAGCTTTCTATATTATTACAACTATAACCCCAAGACCAAGTTCTCAAGAAGAAAAGTTGTAAGTGGATTTCTGGCTACCCTCTGCCATTTGTTCTCACCTTTCTACATCATTGGATAAAGACTATGTAGTGCTGTAGTAAAGAAAGGTTGATTTGTATACTTGTGGTTTTTGCATGTAACATTTCCTTTAAGTACATCTATTGGATAAACTTATAAAATATATAAGGGAAAGGATAAAATTATAAACTAATACACACAAAACTTTAAGAATGGACAGAATAATGCAGGACTTTGGCCCTTTTGAATGATGTGCATGAGGTGTAAGAGCTGGGTTTGGATCCCAGTACTCATGCAAATCCATCATGTGGGTCCCAAGCTTTAGTTCAGGTTGTTAGCCTTGAAAGTAGGCTAATGAACCATCTTTTAAGTTGGAAATGGAAAAAAAAATGATCTCACTGTAAATATGTAACATTCAGAGTAAATATTCAGAATTCAGTTATACTTTTCCAAAACATAAAACCAGGGATAATCTTAAGATTATGTCTAATTTCATTTCCAGCTACCAACTAACGAACCTCATTCGCTGCATCCTGTACTCTTGACTAAGGTCCCATGAAGCCCAGGCTGGCCCCAAACTCCTTAAGTAGCTGAGTATGACCTTGAACTCCAGATTCTCAGGCCTACACATGAGTGCTGTGATTATAGGGGTAATGTTGGGAATCTAACCAGGGCTTGGTGCATATTATATTAGCTAGACTGCTAACTTCAGGCTTTTTTGTTTTGGTTTATTATTATTATTATTTTTTTCAGAAAATGTGGTGCAACTACAAAAACTAGAAGCCTGCTCTGGTAGCCAGATCTCCTTCCTAGGTTAGGTTTAAGAAGGTACTCCCAATTGTACTTAGTCATAGCACCAAGGGAGTCAGGCAGCTTCTCCTACCAGGTATGACCTATAATTGACTAAGCAGGGGATTTCAGTTCAGACACCCAGTGTCTAGCACCAGAGTGTTTTGCTCCAAAGCACTAGCAGTCACCTTTTTCTTTCACTCATCTTCCCTGTTCCCACTGAGCCACAAATCACACTTCACCCTCTCTCCAGTGTCTCTCTAGATTTTCATGGAAATCAGTAATTGTTCTTCCTTTGAAAACATAATTTACAGTAATAGTGTGTATGTGCATGTGCATGCGCGTGGTAAGTGGGTATATCTATAGGTCAGAGGACAACTTGTGGGAGTTGATTCTATCCTTCCATCATGTAAAGCATAGAGATTGAACTCAGGCCCTGAGGCTTGGCAGCTGGTACCATTTACCCACTGTACTATCCTGTCGTGGTTTGAAAAAAAAAAAAAAATGTCCCAGAGAGGGAATGGCACTATCAGGAAGTGTGGCCTTGTTAGAAAAGGTGTGGCCTTGTTGGAGTAGGTGTGGCCTTGTTGGAAAAACTATGTCACTGTGGTGGTGGGCTTTGAGGTCTCCTTTTTTCAAGCTGTGTTCAGTGAGAAACAGTTTGCTTCTGATGCCTCAGGATCAAGATGTAGAACTCTCAGCTCCTTCTCCAGCACCATGTCTCTCTACACACCATAATGAACTAAATCTCTGAAACTGTAAGCCAGTCTCGATTAAATGTTTTCCATTATAAGAGTTGTGTGGTGATGGTGTCTCCTTACAATAAAATACCTAACTAAGGCACACCTCCCAAGCTCCTAAGATTGGTATTTTAATTCCTGTGTGTCAGGGAATAATAAACTGGTCCCAGAGCTGCTCTAGAGGTTGTAATAGAGACTTTTACTCAGTTCTTCTGCATTCAGGTTTGTCTGTCAGGTTTTTACGGGGACTAAGTTTTAAGAGCAAGATGAAAGACTCATCTGTAGAATTATAATCAAACAATAGATAAGGCAAAGAAGCGGTGTCTCTTCACCCTTGTAAATCTCTCTTTCTGCCTTTTATGCCACAGTGCCGATATGATAGCCAGCTTGAATATAGAGTGTAATAGACTCAGGGTGTGACCCAGAACATCATGTGGGGAAGTGTAGAACTTCCTCCATTTCTGCCTATTTCCGTTTTCATCTCAGGAATGGAAATGAGAATTGATGGATGCCACACATTGGAACTGGCACAGCATGGATTCTTTTCAGAGATATTTAATAGCACACATTCCAAAACAGACTCTGCCTGTACAAGACCAGCTGAAATAATTAGATGGGACATACAATACTTTAATACTTAGGGTGTTTTTAGCACACAGATTGGCTTATTTTATCTTATTGTTTTATTTTGTGTGTGTGTGTGTTTGTGTGTGTGTGTGTGTATGTGTGCACAGTGCATTTACATGTTCATGCGTTCATTTGGATGCTTGTACACATTTGTGTGAAAGTAAGAGACCAGTGTTGACTGTCTTCCTATATTCTCTTCATATTTTTTTTTGAGACAGGGTGTCTCCCTGAACATGGAAGACCTAGTTAGCTCTAATTTGATATATCCTAGAGTCATCTAGGCTCTTAGTCAATTGAAAGGTTGCTTGGATAAATCCATAGGGGAGGAGTTATCTGGATCATCAATTGAGGTGGAGGGCCAGGTCCACCATGGGCAACACCCTTGCTTGGACAGGTGATCATGGGTTTAATAAGAAACCACAAAGTAGAAGCCTAAGATTAAGCCAGCAAGGCCTGTGGTTTCTGCCACCAGGTTCATACTTGAGTGCCTGCCCTGACTTCCCTCAAAAATTGAAGTGACTTGGAAGTGGAACCCAAATGAAACAGTGGAACCTTGATCAGAGTGTTTCATCACAGCAACAGAAAGCAAACTCAAACATTGGAGCTCACTAGCTACGCTAGACAAGTGAAAGCCAGGCTTAGCTTTTCTCCCCCTTGCCAGTGCTGGAATTGCAGACATACCACTCCATGCCTGGCTCTTAGATGATGCCAAGAATCCCATCACAAGTCTCTATGCTTCTGCAGTAAGCACTCTGCCAACTGAGCTATCTCACCAGCTCTTGACTGCTGTTTGATCCTCACAATAAGTCTTATAAGGAAACATGTTTCCCAGGCCTGTGTCTCCCCACACATCACACAGAAGCCCTATGAACAACAAACATTTCCCTATGAATGAACCAGGAGCTAACAGGAAGTATGAGCTGCAGACTCAGTTATGACACCCTCTAAGGCAAGGTTCAAAATTGCTCTATGGACAAATCTACTTAAAGAGTAAAGCACTGATAATGGCTGATGAGGTAACGAGTAACTTTACTAGATGTGCCCATCGTCAACACTTCTGTTACATCCTCAGAGTTGTGTTCATATCCTACAACACAGGACCCCTCACTTCCTGCTTCCTAGGAATCAGGGACAGTCTGGCTGTGGGCTGTGCTAAGGAAATCATATCAAACACATAACTGACACATCCTCCTCCTTCTAAACCTGTAAGAAGACTCCTGTTTTGCCATGTGAAACGGAACTTTCTCAGAACCCCACCACACTGCTGTCTAGAGCATCAACACTTCTTCTAGGAAAAGTATTACCCCAAAGGGCAATCTGCTTCAATATCCCACCCCAAACTAAGGATTTTCGCCTATGAAAGACTGATGCCAGAAGTTACATGTGACATGATGAACCAATAATTAATTGAG